AGCAGATCCTGTGGGTGGTCCTGCTTCTGCCTCAGGAGAGCAGCTGGAGGGAAGGAGCTGATGCAGGATCAGGGCTCTGGCAGGGCAGCACAGGCTCTTCGGCCCCCGTGCTCCGCAGGTCTCCACGATGCTGTTGTCTCCCAGGGGAAGATGTGCTTACTACTGTCTTTCAAGGAACGTTTTTTCTGAATGTCAAGTCATACCCTAAACAATATTTTTTTTTTGCTGATTTTTATGTTGTCTCCCTTGCTTTGCTTACATGAAACACGATTATGGATTTCAGAATTCTGTGCTCATCTTCCTGCTTTTCCTTAGACCCCAGCTGTGGTCTGAGCTGTTGGGCGCAGCCAGGAGGTGCAGTCAGTACAGATTCTGATGGGGCTGGAGTCTGCAACAGCTTGATCCCATGAGGGAAAACAGCTCACAGGTGAGGAAACCTTCCTGGCTACCCCTGTGGTAACACAGGCATCATGCGAGCAAAAGTCCTTCTATCTTGTAGCCATTCAAAATCCATGAAAACTAATACTTTTTCTGAAGAAAAATGCAGGTGCGCTCAAACGTGTCCATCGGTTTAATGCTACATTTTGCAGTTAGATCAGCTCTGCTTTCCTGCATGTGGTCATACAGCCAAACCTTCAGCGTAGCGGCAGCTTGCCTCGCAAAGCGACGTGTGCCGACCGCTTGCAGTTAAGATACTGGAAACGTGAATCTGTTCTGAGGCTGCAGAGGTGGCCCGTGCTGCCAGGTGGTTGCACGCTTGGTGTGCTCCTCTGGCTAACTCCAAATCCAGCTGGGAAAGCTGTGCTCAACATCCTGTGAATGATGAAGGTGGCACTTCATCTGTCATCTCTGGTGAGCCGGATCCTGCCTCAGGGCTGCATCTGGCTTGAGTTCATCTGTGAGGATAAATCTAACCGGTTTTGAAGTTTAATCTGTGAGCCCATCTGCCTGTTTACTTTCTGTTCGTACCTGGCAAGGCAGATTGAGGCAGGCAGGCTATGGCCACGAGAAGGCAAACTTCTTCGATGCGTGTAGCAAAAGTCATGGCTCAAACCCCACAACCTACAGGCTGAGGAAATGACGAGACAGTTCAGGAGGATGCTGCACAGCCTCAGCTACATCTGCTCGCGGTCCGTGGGATTACCTGCCCTGCAGCAAGCATGTTGGCACTGAGGCATTTTCTTTCCAGACTGGTTTTGTCCTCTGTCAAATGTAGCCTGCCTCAATTTCTGCTTCAGTCCTTGAGTGCAGGAGGAGGAAATTAGGTGACATTTACATTCCGGTGTGTGCAGGAGGCCATAGGCACATCTTGCATGTGCAGAAAACTTGAGGAAGCCGGAGCATACCCCTTCCTGGGAGATTTTTTCTTAGATGGGAAGAATACCTTAATTTTCTCCCTTGTAGTGTCTCTCGAGTTCAGAGTGATTTCTCTTCTCTTGTTTATTGTTGTCCAGATAAACCCGCTTCACCCTGTGCAAGTAATTGCCATGTCCTGTGTCCAGAGTGGGGCTGGGGGAAAAAAACCTGTTGTAGATGAAATCCATGCCGGGCAGCTGGTGCTCCACCTCTGCTGCCCGGTGTGCTGGGGAGCTCCACCACGCTCGTGTGGCACAACTCCAGGGCTGCACCTCATCTGGGGCCCTTTCAGCTCCCAGGGGGTGTATGTGCAAACAGTTTGGCTGAAAGCTTGTGGGGGGTTTGATCCTCAAAGGAAGGAGGTTGGGGAAGAGCATCCCTGGGGTGGTGAGGGTGCCACCCTTCTTTCTCCTCTAATATTTGTGAAGGTGATTCGGTGACAGCAGGGCACTGGACACGATGCATCGGGAAACTACTTGTTGCTCTGTTCTCAGAGGTCTTGGCAATGGGATGCTGGCAGATACGCATGTACAGGAGCCATCCTCACGTACACTAGGCAAAAGGACTGGCGTTCGGGGTCCCAGGGCCAGAGATGGACTATGAAGACCTCCTATCCCAAGGAGCTATGGTTATGGTGACTAGCTGTTCATAGTTCTTTCCAGCGACCTCATCCAAGCACAGATCAAATCACAGCTTTGTTTTCCTCACTCAAGTCTACCTACAGCTCCTGACTGAATTCTTGAAGCTTGCAGGAAACTTCACTGTATGACTACGTGCCAGGTAAAAGACAACTTGCTTCCTAAAACTGCTCTGTCATCCGTCTGTTTCCATAGTTGCTCTTTGGGAAAGCGTTATGCCCGTTTTCTGGGCTACTGAAAAGACAGGGGTCTGCATCCATCACAGTGCTGCCAGAAAGAAGAGGCATCCACAAAGAAAGGGGAAAAAAGGATTAAAAACATATGTTTGCACATGAAAAACCCAGATTTGAGTGAAACTCAGAGTCTGAGTAAGCGTGCAAATTGGTTCTGTAGTTTCAGGTTCATTGGTTTTGTTTTTTAAGATCTTTTCTTTAATAATTTAAAAAAGATGGCTTCAATTCTTTCACCATCAAAACCTTTTAACTGGAATCTTGTTGCACAATGTCCTGGTTTCAGCTGGGTTAGAGCTGATGTTCTCCCTCGCAGTTGGTACAGTGCTGTGTTCTGGATTCTGTATGAGAATACTGTTGATAACACACTGATGTTTTAGTTGTTGCCGAGTAGTGCTTATCCTAAGTCAAGGACTTCTCAGTTTCCCATGCTCTGCCAGCGAGGAGGTGCACAAGGAGCTGGGAGGGAGCACGGCCAGGACAGCTGACCCCAACTAGCCAAAGGGATATTCCACACCACGGGCCGTCGTGCTCAGTATAGAAACTGGGGGAGCTGGCTGGGGGGGGCAATCGCTGCTCAGGGGCTGGCTGGGCATCGGTCAGCGGGTGGGGAGCGACTGCCTTGTGCATCACTTGGTTTTGTTCTTCTTGTGCTCTCTTTTTGTTATCTTCCTTTTAATGACAACTATTGTTATATTTTATTTCAATTATTAAACTGTTCTTATCTCAACCCACAAGTCTTACTTTTTTTCCCGATTCTCCTCTCCAGCCCATGGCGGGCAAAGTCAGCAAGTGGCTGTGTTGTGTTTAGATGCCATCTGGGGTTAAACCACAACACCCAGCCAGGCAAGAAACCACCAGAACTCATGGAAGTCACTAGGTTCAGAAGTGGCAATATCTGTTCATGCACTAAAGTGTAATTTTTCATGGTTAGCTGAAAAAATTACCTTCTTCAGTCTTCTCAGCAGCTGTGGTTTTGCCTCACTTAGAAAATAGTAGTAATAGGAGGTACGTATAGATGGCCAGCTGGCCAGAGAGGCCCTCTTACTCCTTTTGGACTGGTGCAAAACACAGTGTGCAGCATTTGTCTTTGTTAGATGAATAATGTAGCAATTTGTTTAATATGCATGACTGATTGCTGTTTTATTAATGGAGATTAATAGTGTCAGGTCAAAACCTGTGCTCAGCTACCCTGTCTTATGCTTCGTGTACCACACAGGAGGATAGATTCCAAAATGATGAACCAGAGACTCTGCAGAACCCTATTTAAATCCAGCAGAACCGTTTTGGGGAGAGGAAGAAGTGCTGGCAAGTCAAACCATTTTTTGTCTTGCAAGTGGTTGTGATTTGATGATGGTTAGAGGAATACAATGAAAAGAAAATAAACTTTCTGATAATTCAGCTGGTGGGACAGCAGCATTCACTGCCAGAGATGTGACAAAGTGATCCCTATAGTGCAATTGTCCTTTCTTTTTTGAAGAGTAATTCATTCAAGAAGTTTCCCTTGAAATTAGTTGTGGGCTCAGGTACTACTTCAATATGATTATTTACCTGCCAATGATCTAGTGTACTATTTTCCCTGAGTGAAGGATGGCTCAAAAGTGCAATCGTGCCTTCCTAGGTACCAACCCCACTGCCACCCTCCCTTTTTTTGGGTTTGTTTGGCACAGGTTTGACGCAGGTGGAGGAGCACAGTCCCTGACAATTCCTGGGCAGACCGGGGGAGCTGGGTGGGTACCACCACCCCATTGTGCATGGTATGACAATACGATGGGAGGTTGGGAGGGGTTATGTGCCGGCTGGCTCTATGGTCAGAGCACAGCTCTGAGCATGCATCATTTTACAGCACAGAGAAAGCCTGTGAGACTGTGGTATGATTTGAGGCCTCTCTTTGCATTCCAAAAGTTCTTTCTCCCACCTCTTCCCTGGTGCAGTGACTGTCCCAGATGCACTACTCCCTCCTTGGACCATCCTGTGTTCCCGCGGCTCCTCCTTTTCTCTTGGGGATTCTGAAAATGTTACCTGTTAAACCCACTGCACTTTAATTCCTGGTGCAGAAATATGCTTGTCTTTTGGCTATTTGACAAGCTATTTTTGTAATGAAGCCGAGTGATATGCTGTGTTCAGTTAAGAGAGGTTTGTTGCAGCCTAACAAATACATGGTCAGTTTAGATGTTGCATTTTTTTTTTTTTTTTTAAATAGTCACTTTCTGCAAAATTGTTAGTACTTAAGCTTTGCCTTAGGAGAGCCTGAAATGTGTTGTAGAGCTGCCATGGGCAGGGACACCTTCCACTAGACCAGGTTGCTCAAAGCCCCGTCCAACCTGGCCTTGAACCCTTCCAGGGAGGGGGCACCCACAGCTGCTCTGGGCACCCTGGGCCAGTGCCTCACCACCCCCACAGTAAACAATTTCTTCCTTATATCTGATCTAAACCTACTCTCTTTCAGTTTAAAACCATTATCCCTCGTTCTAACAAAGCGTGCTGGCTGCCGTGCTGGGAGCTCTTTGCCTCCAAGCTTGTGTAGCTTTGCAGGAGGTCGGCTCCCTTTCTGCTGCCCACCTCTGTGGGCTGCCCAGCAGCTCCCGAGCCCTCAGGCAGAGCACGATGACCAGCCTCGCCGAAAGCTGCTGCAGGAAAGACAACTGGAGCGTTAGTACATGTGCCAGGGGTGTAATCTAGTGTCTGCCTCATGGCATCCCTCCTGCCATTCTCCAAGGATGTGTTTTGCTTAGTTTCTGCAGGTACGGTAAGACAATTTGCTATGTAAGCTGAGGAGGGTTTTTCAAAACAACATTTGATGCCTTTACTGAGGGTTACATAGAGTACAGATGCATTATTTCTGTTCCACAGGTACCAGGAATTACAAAAGTTAAAATGCAGTATCTTAAGACGTGTCCTGCTGTTTCATCTTGCATTTACACAGTCTATGTGACGACTTCTTCTGATGTCTTTTATGCTTCAGCTGAAGACAGAAATAAGGTATTTTCCTACTTCTGATAATAAGAACTTACTAGTAATACATTAAGATGGAGGTAAAATAAAGGCAGAAACCCTAAAATATTAGGCTTTCTGTCAGGGAGCACTGAAAATATATGGTTTTCTTTGGAGAGCAGACTTTCTCTTTTATTTTGCAGTCAACTAATGGTAAAAGGTAGTGACTTTTCTTCTAGGTAACCCACAAGAAATAAATGGGAAGGCCAAGACAGATAATTCTGAAAACTGATCGCAAGCAGCTGCTGTGCAATGGTGTGCAACTCCCTCTCAGGATGGGTGATTGCTGGCTGCAGTGAGGCAGCACCAGGGACATGCCTCTTGCTTTTGCTGGAGGATCCATGCCAAGGAGCCCCAGGTAGGACACTGACACTGGGATCTCAACCCAAAGGGATTGTACAAATCCTGTGTTCCCTGATGGCTCCCAAGAGCCTAATTTTCCTAAATGGTGGGATTTTAACTCTGGGATGATGCTGTGTACGTACTGGATGGTGGGCTCACTCCCCTTTTCATCTTACATCCCATGCTGGGGAGAGGACCATGCTTGATGAAACAGTGACAAATTCAGACCTGAACTGGAGGCTTGTGCAGCACAAGGAGTGAATTTGGCCTGTTTTGAGTGGCAGGAACATGAATTTCATGCAACATCCCCCCTAAGTGAGATCTGAATCAAATTGTTTTACTGCTTTTTTTTTTTTTTTTTTTTTCCTGCTAAGACAAAACAAGATCTTTCTTCAAAGCACCATGCCTCAACCCTTCTACCGTGACACTTTGATTCCTATATGTCTTCATTTGTAAATACCATTTAGAAATGAGCTTCTAAATATTGACTCACAAGATGAATTGGTCATTCTTCCAGTGGCACTGATGAGAAATCAACAGTTGGTGAGGATCTTCATGCTCTCACTCAGAGCTGGTCAGGAGGGCTTTCTCCTCTGTGCTTCCCAAGCAGCCACAACTGCTTCCCACACTTCACCTTCCTTTGCAAGCCACCTCTCCCGTGCTGTCTTGCTGTGTGAGGGGTTATTTTGTCAGCAGCAGTTTTGCCTCAGCTGGGCCTCCAGGAACATGCTTGAAGTTCTTGTGGTGTGGGGATGGGTTCAGCGGCAGTACTCCCGCTCAATGCTTGCCATGAGTTCTTCCTCCGAGTAATCATATGATATTGTAGACTTTCCCACCGGCTTCTTGCTATTCCTTTGTGGGCACCTGCTGGGGAAGGGAATGAGTTATTGGTGTCATGGGAGAGAATCAAGTTCTGAAGGCACAAGATGACCCTTATGTCATTTTTTTGTGAATGGAAAGATCAAACTGCATGTGGTTTGCTGAGACACATATACTTTGTCACGTCTAGTTCCCATACCCCCCCGGCACATCGCTTGCTGACATTTGCTATCACTTGGCATCTATTTTAGTCTGCGAGTTCATTACAGTACAGTCCTTACAACACCTGATATCAAACTTCCATAACCTTTCGGTGAGTGTAGGTTCAAGGCCCCAGTTAAAGCACTGCCTAACCTTTATTCTAGTTACCAGTTCTAAAGTTCTATCCAGAAAGGGATTTTTTGTTTGTAAGGGATTTGAGTTGCAACTAAAATATGAACTCAGCTATCTCAAACTGCTCTTACAGTTTTTATTTATTTTCACATCAGCACAACTCTCCCGTAAGTGGGAACTGATGTACAATCCAAAGGGAACAGGCATGATTCTTATTGGTATTTGAAGGGAACTGGTATGGTTCTGATTGGAGGTGGATTATGTTGGGTACAAGGGAAATCTGTCCCTACCTGCCCAAGGGAGGACAGTGAAGAGTCTTCTGCAAGCTTTGACCACTGTAGCTCACAGTACCAATAGGTCTACTTGATCTTGCCCTCCAGGACTCAAGAGAGGAGACAGCAATTGGCAAGTGAGTGTTCCTCCTTGACCCTGTAGACAACTGGAAGGTGAGCAACCCAGGCCATCAGGCTAGTCTCTGGAAGCTGGGGCATGTGGCTCCATGAAATGGAGGTAGCGGTGAGGTACAGAGCTAAGTGAAGACTTCAGTTGGTAAATCCAAACTGTAAAGTGCTCTGTGATGCCATGTTAACTGAGATTGGTGGGGCTACTTTGTGGCCATCCACTGGTGGAGAACAAATAAGCAAGAAATTTTTTTTTTGTATGGTGGTTGGTTAGTTGCCAGAGGAGAGATTTTCATATGCAATAGCATGGCTCCAACTCTGTCCCAGACTTGTTATGTAGCATCTGTTGGCTTACCACTTCTCTAAGGATGAGATCTCCCACATCCTTGGTCTTGCAGCTGGGATGAATTTGGTCATGAGCATCCTTTAGTGACAAAACTGAAGACCTGTTTATTAGATGAAGTCACAGGAGCTGCCCCAAAGCAGGTAAGTAAATGCAGAATCAGAATAGAAGAGCTCTGAAATGCTTTTCTAAGGAATCTTTGTCTCATAGAGGAGGCGCTTTCACAAACCCTCAGCTGTCTTTGACAGCCAGGAACTGCCCTCCTTGGGCGAGGGAGCATCTGCAATGTCCCTCAAACAGGCAGCAGCCAGCATCCTGCCGTTTTGCTGGGGAGCAACTGCACCAATGCAGCCTCTCCTCTATTCTTATCTGTCCAGGTCAGAAAGGCTCCTGCCCAGTCCAGCTGCTCTGACCTAGCTGTGTTAATGCCGTCACCCTGCATGTCAGAAATAGTTGGTGTTTTTCCTTGGAGCCACCTGATGACCAGCTGGCATGACAGCTGGGTCATGTGGATGTCCTACACTTATTTATGCTGCCCCTTGCCCTTGATGGCACGTTCTACTGGTAGCAAGATGGCAGCAAGTAGGATTTAGCAAGTAGACTCTTCTGTTTAATCCTTTCATTCATTTTCAGTCTTCTGATGAGCTGCAGGCAATCTGGTTTCCACCGCAGTAAATGAGAGCTGGGAAGAAAGTTAAAAGTCCAAGAGCTCGAACCATACACCAGCAGCCACAAAGCAAGAATTGGGAAAAGGAAATGCAGAAATCTGACTTAAACACATGATTTATTGATTTAAACTCTGCACTGTGACAATCCTTAAACTAATTTTATATTATGTGATGAATTAGAGGCAGAGCTCTTGGCAGCTTGCTTGCAGGCCCACAGAAGAGTCATTGTTTCTCTTAGCGTTTACATAATTTCCCACTGTTAATTATTCTTGATGCTTTGGCTTGCATGGTGACCTCCAAGCATGGGAGAAAATCTCCAGGTAAAATGAGAATTTATTGAAACACAGATGTCTCTTTAAACAGACAAAAGTGAACCCCACTTACCATGCATATTCCAGAATTGAGAGGAATAGAGAAGGCTGTGTTTATTTCAAGAGCAAAGGAGAAGAAAGTTGTTCTTTCTATTTTTGTGGCACAAAGTTCTGTATCATTTTATATGGAAAAACTGAAATAAATTTAAAAATGGGAGGTTCAATCTGGATAAAAGGAGAAACTTCTATACCCTGAGGACAGCAAGCAGAGGAACAGGCTGTGGTTGCACAGGCTCCATCCTTGGAGGCTTCCAAGACCTGACGGGACAAAGTCTGGAGCATTCTGCTTTGACTTCACAGCTGATCCAGCTTGGAGCAGGAGATCGGACTAGAGCCCTCCTGAGGCCCTCCCGAACTGCACCTTGATCTCAAACGCACGTTGGTGGAGCTGTTTCTGCTGGTCCCGGAATTAAGGGAGAGGCTGTGGCAGGGAAATCCTGTGGGCAGGACAGGAGCTGGTGGACCACAAGCCTTCTCCTGTGCTCCTCCAGCCACTCCAGCAGGAGAGGAGGCCCCTTGCTGCCCTCACCCACACGCAGCCAGGGCTTGCAATCATGTTGAATCTAGCTGAGCGATGTTAGACTTCCCGATTTGAAAAATAACGAGTCAGGACGTTGAGGGGAAAAATTTTCAAACCCCAGATGTTCTGGGAGAAGAGAAACCTGTAAAGGAGCAAAGCTGAGAGAGAAGGAGCTAGCCGAAAAGCATAAAAGAAGGGAATCTGCAGCATAGTAGGACAGCAAAGAAAAAAAAGGGCAGTGCACCTCCACCAAGATTACTGTGCAGACTTCTGGATATCTCATTACTGAAAAGTTATTAACAGCTTGGAGGGAGTTTAGAAAGCAGCAATAAAAGTGATTTAAGAGGCTAGAGCAAAGCAATTTAGGGAAGAGGAAAGTAAGAAATGTGCTCCATTTCAGCTAAAGGCCTCTCTGTATTTAAAGCTTGTTAAGGAGGAATTTTATTTTTTTTTTTTTTTAATGGAACTATGCAATGAGGAGAAGGAAATGCAAAAGGCAAAATTAGACCAAAAGTAAGCAAAACCACCTTTGAGCAAGATCCCAGGGGTGGGGATGGCTGGCAGTGCCACGTCCCTGGAGTCAGGCAGCTGCCTGGTGTGGGGGAGAGCTGCCTGTGGGCTCTGGTGACAATGTCCCTGATGGGTGGCTAGGGTGACCAGCTCCAAGGTAGAAACCTGAGTTAAGTGGCTGAAATTTAGGTTGGGGTGAATCTAGGCCAGTGTTTTTCATTGTTTTGCTGAGGATGGGAAAGTCCAGGGTTAATCATTAAAATGCCTTCTGCAAGACCTTGCAGCTGAAAAATGGGTCAAAACAACGCCCCGGTAACTCTGCCAGTGACATGAGCCTTGGCAGCGACTGTAAGATCGTTACAGCGTTCCCGGGCTGTGTCATCCCGCCCGTGCACTACCAGATGCTAGAGAGGGGTTCCCAAAAGGATTGCAGGGGGAAAGAGAGGTAACACAGCACGATCAAGAATACATCCAGCTGTGTTCCCATGTGCACTGAAAGTATGTGTTATGGTCCGGTTTAGATGCTTACGTGGTGTCACACAGGCATGTTTGCAGTACAGGAGGTGCACACCTACAGCATCTATCTCATGTGACTATTCTCTTGGCAGATAGTATTAAGTCTCCATATCTATTTTTCTTCCTCCTTGCTTGACGTTTATTTCTTCTTTAAATGGCTTTATGGGAATTTCTTGGGTCAGTAACTCTATCGAGACAAGGCTGACTTTTGCTGCTTGTAACGTGAGTGTTTACCTGGAATAATTCTAGCCACAGAAATGTGAAGGATGAAACACCTACACACATTAGCCGCTGCTTCTGGGGCTTGGTTTGATTTGATTTCTTCAAAATGTAGTTTTGCTGGGTGCTGGACAATTTCCAAGAAAATGTTTGCATGCAGTTCTTGCCAGCAGAAACTGCAACCCTGCTTATCATGGGCGCACCGGGCACTTCACGCGTGAGCTGCACTATGGGGCTCTGCAGTGGGTGTAAAGTAAATGTTATCTAAATGAAAATAAGCTCCTGCTCAGTCATCCCAGATCAGAAACCGGTTTCTGCTGTCTTAAGTCTCCCCTTTGTGTTTCAAAGAAGGAGGGAGAAAGAAAGCCCTGGCAGGGGACAAGAGGGGCCAGTGAGAGCCTGGGGCTGGGGAGCTTGGTGGGGGACTGTGGCAGGGCTGGGTGTGCACCCCCAGAGGAGACTGCTCAGGTGCCGTCGTAGCCCAAAGCCCATCGGCGACGCTGGAGAGCCCAAGAGAGGTTACAGTCCCCATGAGAGCCCCTGCATGAGCCTCGCTGACTGGAACGCCGAGGGCAGCCGTGTTTTCCGAGCGCTCCCGAAATGAGCGGCCTCGCCAGGCGAGCTCCCTGCCAGCTGGGAGGGAGAGGAGGGGGGGGGGACGGTGGCTGGTGCCCGGGCTCTCGTGTCACATCCACCAGCACCGCTCAGCGTTAGCAGGTCACACAACCCGGCAGCGGGGACCCGCAGATCCGTCTGCTCTCGAGTGCTGCAGGAGCAGAGTATGAGAGTCCGCGAACGCTTAAGGTTGAAGAGAGTTACTCTTTAGCATAAGGAGATGGTATTTTAAGGTGGTTTTCCAAGCCTTTTTGTTTCATGTGAGTTACTTTAACATGTGGGTCAAATGGTTCCTATCCCTCTGGGTTCTGCTCGGTAGCTTTTGCCTGTGGAAGGAAGATTTCACATTTCTTTTGTTTGATACACAGTGCAGTAGGTCATCACCATTCCCCTGTCCCTGAGGAATGCTCGTGTCTCTAACAGGTGTAGCATGGCAGAGTCTTACGAGTTTTTCCTCATGGTTCCTGTGGCGCAAGGAGATGTTATCCTCCTTCTCTACATGTTGCAGAGCCCACAGATGACCTGTGGGTGAACCAGGCCCTGAGGTACTTGTTGGAACACTCCTCTCCAGCTTTTCACAAGCTCCTTCAAGACGCCTGTGTGATGTGGACATCCTAAATTCTGCACTGAATCTATATGCTGTACTTGAGCTGGAGCCTGGATCTTTTCAGGCAGTGCAGCTCCTGAAATTTTTTTAATCGGCAATTAGGTAGAGGACAGGCTATTTAGGGCTATGAACAATTTGACACCACTCCCACCTCTCCTTTGCACAGTGGGAGGCATGCAGGAATAGCTTTCTCCTTTATGCTTCCTTCCTTCCAGCTGCTTTTCCCCTCTGAAGACAAAACTAAAGCATGGGGTACTCACTGATGGTCAGTGCTGCTCTCTGGGCCTGGCAGGCTTCTGGTTGACAAGGCCTGGGGAAGAACAAAAAAAGCGCATTTCAGTTATAACATTTTAAAATTGAGGGCGGTGATTCTGCCTCTCTACTCTGTTCTTGTGAGATCCCACCTAGAGTCCTTCATCTAGCTCTGGGGTCCCCAGCACAAGACAGGCATAGACCTGCTCAAGTGGGTCCAGAGGAGGCCATGGAGATGATCAGGGGCTGGAGCACTTCCCCGGTGAGGACAGGCTGAGAGAGTTGGGGGTGCTCAGCCTGGAGAAGAGAAGGCTCCGGGGAGACCTTATAGTGGTCTTCCAGTGCTTAAAGAGGGTACAGGAAAGGTGGGGAGGGATTCCTTACTAGGGACTGTAGTGATAGGACAAGGGGTAATGATTTTAAACTGAAAGTGGGTAGATTTAGATTAGATATAAGGAAGAAATTCTTTCCTGTGAGGGTGGTGAGGCACTGGCACAGGTTGCCCAGAGAAGCTGTGGCTGCCCCCTCCCTGGAAGGGTTCAAGGCCAGGTTGGACGGGGCTTTGAGCAACCTGGTCTAGTGGAAGGTGTCCCTGCCCATGGCAGGGGGTTGGAACTGGATGATCTTTAAGGTCCCTTCTAACCCAAACCATTCCGTGTTTCTATGAAAGCTATCTCTGAGCCATGTCTGCCCTGGTTTACACCCTCAAACAACCCCTGTGGAGACAATACAAGAGAGTTCCCTTTAGTAACCACCCTTCTGCTAGCTATGTTTCAGCATTCAGGGCAGCTGGGTGGCTGCAGGCAACGGAACTGAAATCACCAAACATTAACTCATGAAACTTCCCCGTTTTCCTATGAATAGGCACTGCCCTGCCAGATGACAGTTAGCAGTACGAAAGTAATTCAAAAGAAGGGAGTTATGGCAACACGCATCTAATTCTTTTCACCTGATAAAGCTGCTTCCCTGAAATGATCCATTTGGAGTGAGACATCCACCTTCCTATGCTGGAAGCCCACAGGTTTCCAATGGGACACCAGCGCAGGGGGCACAACCAAAGCCAAACCTAATGGCATTTAAAATGGGAAGACAATGGGACCCTGTTTCTGTCTGAGCCCCCAGTTTTCCCAATAAGAAAATGAACCCCCTGCCGCCAGCTGCTACTGAGAAGATTATAACTTTCATCTTTTTCTACATCTTTACTGTACTCTCGGAGGGAAAGGGAGCGGGACCGGGACAAGGGCTGTGGCTTTGCACAAAACTAGACCTGTTTTGGTTTGCCATTATTTTTTCTGAGTCACAGTCCCAAAGCTGGTGGTCCTCCGTCATACAAGTTATCCTGAATCTCACGATGACACCAACAGATGTTAAACAGGTGGTATGGAGAACCAAAGTGAGGACTTGGCTTCCAGAAAATAGAAGTGAAAAGTTGTTCCATCAGCGTGGAAAAGAGAAAAATACTTTTCTGTACAACAAAAAAGGGAAGCAAAGGAACCAGGGAGTGGTGTGGAAAAGGTTGCACTTCAGAGCCAACACCTATACATCTGCTGTGTGGTGTTTCTGCCGGGCTGGATGGAATCAAGTGATTCCTAAGTAAGGTCATGTATCTGCTCTTGAAACAGCTCAAACCTGCACTGCCTTGAGGTCCAGCAGTGCACAGGACTGGTTCTGGTAAGTGTCGGAGCAGTGCCAGCACAGGAATGATGGCTTTATGCAGTTTTGCTCTGATTTAAATCAGCTGGTATCGGTCAGGCTTATGTGCTGTCCACTGGATAGAAATGTCCACCTGCGTTTCTAACTGCTGTTATTCCATGGCACCTGATTTTAATTTGAGAGGAGATGCTTTCACTGCTCTCCTTCCTTAGCTGCTTCACATGCAGATGGACAGGAGTCGAGGTTATAACAAAGTGGTCTCAGACACTGCTGGGCAGGTCGGTGCTTGGCAGCAAACTGTTGGGCTCTTCCCTGCTTCCCGGGTAGGCTTTGTGCTGCCGTGGTCACCTTTGGCTCCCATGCTTGAGCAGGTGAAGGGGGCTGCAGCAAAGACCTCTCTCATGGCACTGGGTCAACACATCTTCCAGGTGAGTCCTAAGTGTCTTCCATTTCTGGAGCTGGGAAAGGTGTCTGCTATCCACAGGCTTTCATGCCCCAGCTGCTTGCTTAAAATTACAAGCTAAATCTACAAGAGACTTGTAACATCTTTTGATACCTGTCAAAAGGCACTCCACTTCCTTTCAGAAGAACCCCCGCTCTTTGGCAACACTTTGTTTTCTCTGGAAAAGCCTGAACTGTTCTAGAAACAGCTCCTGGGTCCAAGCGGAGATGAGGCTATGTGAAAAGCTGACGATGAGGGAAGAGAGTTCCCGCCTGGTTATTTAGCACTGTTTTTTTGGCAATCTCCCACAAGCGACAAGAGCAAGCAGCAGTGCCGGGAGGACTCCGTGCTGAGCTCCAAGAGCTGACTTCTCCCCACGGTGCAGCCCCTCATCCTCGTCATCACCATCACCCACTGGGCTACTGCTGCCACCCCGCTTTCCTTCCACCAGGCAAAGAACATTATTCATCCTCAGCACCAAGGGGAATACAGTTCTCCAGGAGTGCTCTGATGCTGCTCTTCCCACAGCGAGAACTCAGCTTCCAACACTTCTGCACAAAGGATGGGTTTGGATCATTTTAGGGAGGGGTTTGAATTGTACAGTAGGTTGTCGTTTTTTCTTCCCTTGTGGCTGACTCCTCCATATTACGAGCTGTACGTGTTGTGTGGGTGGAAGACAGAATTAATTAGTCATTGGGACGGAGCAGCTCTGGTTAGCAAAATCTGCTTCTGTGTGCAAAATCAGCTCCCACCTTCTCCAAGGGATCCGTCGGCAACAACACTTATTTCCCTGGTGCAGGTAGATCTCTACCTACGTTCAACCCGGTTCATAAGGAAAAACAAGCAGCGAGTGAAAAAACAAAAGGCGCTTCCAGCCTCTGGCTTTCCAACGCCTTCAGAGCTTTGGGAGCTGCTCCAAATTCATCCGGGTGAAGGGCGGGCGACTCGGCACTGCCCGAGGGACACCCCGTGCCGGGCAGCGGGCGGGATGCGGAGTGAGGGCTGTCACAGGCAGTGAGACATAATAAAAACCCACCCCACCCAGCCCGCTCGGGATTGCTGTAATGTGTATGTTGCAAGTTCAGCATATAATTAGTATTAGCTCTTTATGTGGGTTAAGATGATGCGCACATTATGACACTTTAATATTATGGGTTCCTACCCGACAGCTAAATAAGTATTGCTGGCCTGGTTGGACTATGCCCTGTTAAAAGATAAATGAAGTCAGCTTCTCCTTTCTACAGCTTGCAGTCATCTTTTTATTACTCATCCAGACCACAGAGTGTCTCCTTGTTTTCCACCCTGTTCCCAGCGTTGGCATCTCGTGCTGGGGTCTGTTGTGCTACGAAGCCCCGCATCACCCCCTCCTCCAAGTTTAAAGGCTCGGATATCAAGCTCACCCAGCATGTACTTGGGTTTAACTTAATGTAATGAGATGTGAGGTGGAGTGGTTTGACAGCCATTGCACACACAGTTCAGCTGTCCTTTATGTCAGGGCAGCGGCTCCTGGGAGCAAGGTGGAGCGGAGAGCTGGAAGCAGGAGCTATTTCTCCTTACTGTGTGCATGAGCCAGCACTCACGGGCTGCAGCTTTCCACTCCCCCCAGCCCGGTGTAAGCTGTGGCTGGTGTTGCTCATGGTCCTGCAAGCCCTCACCCCCTTGCTCCCCCCTTCTCCCTCTGTCAGCTCTAGCTGCCGTGGGTGAGCTGGGTGAGAACACCTTCCCTTGGGACCCGCGGGGCAATCTGGAGCCGGGCACCTTCAGGGGCTCTGAGCTGCCCCTGAGCTGTGTTAAAACCAGTCAACTACAGTCTCGACCCTTAAAATTGCATCGTCTCCAAAACTGTGTGGCCAAATTTGAGTGGTCTCTTAGCGAGAATCCCCGTGCTGGCCCCTGAAGCCCTGCCCAAGCATTATTTGGGAAGCTGCAAGTTGGTCCTGGCCAAAACCATGCCAGCTGAGTGGGGCAGGCCATCATGGTGCAATACCAGGCAGCTGCTGTGGTATAGTTTACCAGTACAGATATAGTCCTGAGATATAGACCCTGAGTGGTCCCACCATGTACAGGGGAGCCTAGAGAGTGACTGAGCCACCTAAAACATCTACAGGGGAGAACCGTGGTTCCCCTGCCAGCGCTGGGCCACTGGGCTGTGGTTACATAGCACAGCTTTTCTGCAGGATATAAGCCTCCTTCCCTGCCTCTGCTCCTCCTAAATCTCTCTTCACCAACACCCCATGAACTGGATCAGGGGACCGGTCTGAGCTGAAATTAAAATCCCCTCCCTTGGTGGGGAGGGAGGCGATGTCGGCCGGAGCGCATCGCGGATGCAGTTTGCAGCACAGCTGCAGGTAGCTGAGCAGGTACAGCAGCAGGGCAGCACCCTCCAGCGAAGCCAGCAAATGCTGTGTGTGGCTGAGCCAGACGTCACTGCCGAAAACCGCCCCTCACGAACCCGCAGCCGGAGTTATTGCTGGCAAAAAAAAAAAAAAAAAAAAATCTAGCTTACCTAACGTGGCAGTAGGAACCAAACGGGATGTACAGCCCCCACTGAATCCCAGCCTTGCTCTGGTCTGCAGCAACATCCTCTGGCCAGCAAAGGAATTAGGAGCAGGCTGGGAAGTGGTCAGGGATGTGGGGACTTCCCACGCTTCTCCTCTCCTGCCAACTAAAACACCAGTTCCCACCTATTCTGCGCATGCCCTGTGCTTAGTTCTTAGATCAGGAATGATTTCGGGGCAATAGCAACCTGTGCTCTGCCAAGTGATGTGGGGGGGGCAAAATACCTAATCAGTTTTCCGAGCGCAGCTGCAACACAGCTGAGGGGACAGCACAGCTTGCTGGACTCTGGTGAAGTTTCAGGTGCTTTTAAAAAGACAAGGAGCATAATGTGAGAGAGAGGGAGACCTTTTGCTCAGCAACTGCCAGATCCACACCTGGACATTAACTGCAGAATCTGAAATAACCTGAATTTGTACTTTTCACTTTGCTGCTTCCCTAGTTTGGAGTTCAAGGAGTCCCAGATGTTCAGCTGGAAAAGACCTTCTCTGAAGCACCCTGGCCAGTAGAGCATGGCTCCCTACACAACTGTAAGAGAACATCTCGACTCGGAATTTTTGACCATTAATACAACCAGAAAGAACATGCTGAAATAAATTACTAACAGCGCTGAATTGGAAAGATCAAATTTCTGTTTGAGGGAAGCACATTTTAACAAGAGTAGAAAAATAAACCTATCTGAGTTCCTGTAAGAAACTAATGGGGCATGACATTAAATGTCCCCACAGAACCCCTAAGTGTTTGCATCTGGGACCAGCCAGCCACGAGATGACGCTGCACCACATCAATCTGCAAAAAGAGCATTTATCTGGCAAATCAGGCAAAGCTTTGAAGGCCTGGGTGTTTTGAAAGTATACGACAGTCCCTGTAAAAGTCAGTTAATACACCCTCTACCCGTGTTATTCCTGCGCTGCGGCTGGGGTGATCAACTTACTGTAATCACATCCCGTCTCCAGTCAGGAGGAGTGACAGCGCTGTGGAAAAAGCTGTTAAAAGCAAGACTCTAACATGTCTGTGTGATTCTTCCATTTCAGGAAACCAATCGGGAAATGCCTGAGGCCACAGCCTCTCCCCTGCTTTCTACCAGGAGCTTCCACCCTGCTCTGTACTGCAGCAGCACCTGCAAAACCACAAATACTTTTCTCTGTCTTGAACAAAGAAACGAGAAAAAAGCATGGATGACCATCTGGAATTGAGGGCAAACCTGAAAATGGATATTTGATGCTGATAAGGAGGTGTTGGGGTCTGCTTCGAGCTGAACTCAGGTTCCCCATCAGGATTTGGTTCCCAGCGCGCTGCTGTGACGTGCTCTCACCCTTCTCACTCCCAAGCACTATCTGGATGCAATAGAGGTGGCTCAAGCCTTTAAATGCAGCCACACCCCTCTCCACCAGCCCTTCCAGCTGGCCTGGTGGCCATCGGTGCTGCTGGCTTGCTGCTGGATGACAAAGTGCATCGGGGGTTCAGGTGTGACGCGCATCACGCCCAGGAGAAACCCAACCGTGACAGGAGAGCTGAGTCCTGCTTGCAGGCAACTGCGCTCTTCTGGCTGGTGCAAACCTCTCCTCTCCTCCCATGGGCCAGAATATGCTCCTCCATGGGCTATTTCTCATCAGGCTTTCCTACTGTAACATCTCCTCATTGCCTTCTCTCCTTCTCCTTCATCTTTTTCCCATTAGCTCTGTCAAATCATCTCATCCTTTCTTTGCTCATCCTCCAGTTTGCACAGCTGAAAAGGGCAAAGCAAGCAAGTTCCCACCACAAAGACAGAAATTGCAAATGACTGGTTGAGAAGCTGGCAAGACTGAGAGAAATTGTCTTCAAAATTTCTAGCAAGGAACTAGTGATGCAACAAAGCTGGTATCCCTTTCCAGAAACCTCCTCCAACAGCCTCATGGGAAGGGTGGGACTGCAGTTTGCACAATGACCTGAAAGACTAAATTGCATCCAGTAAACAAACAAAACTTGGTGCTGCAAGGAATTTCATCCCTCCTTCTCACAGGCTAGTGACTTTTTAGGCCTCGAGGAGTCAGACCAGTAAGCCCATGACTGCTGCCCGTACCATGGCCACCTCAGGTTCAGGTAAAGAAAGTGCTACCAAGAAGAGCTTTGAGTTTGCTCTGAAAGTATCTAAGACCTCTCTTGTATGCCTTTTATATCTTTGAAAAACACAGGTGACTCCTTGCTGTCTTTCAAACAACCTGCCTGGGTGCAACCAGAGATGTGACCTTCCTTCCCAAACAAGAGGCAGCAGCAGCAGCTGCCGGAGAAGATGCAGAAGATGCTCGGCATCACCGTCGCCGAGCGGGCTGCAAAGCTGCATGCTGGCCCACTGGCCACACTGGGTGGCCAAGGCCCAACGTCCCTCCTTCAGGCTGAACGTTGAGGGCCCTTTGAGGACACGTCTGTGCTGCAAGGCCTGACGGTGTTCCCGCCCTGGGTTTGCACTGGCTGTGACCCCCAACCCGGGGCGGCCGACGTGATGCTACGGGTTCCTCAGCCTCACTTCTGCCAGAGGAGGGGGTCTGCAGCAGGGAGCTGGGCATGATGACCCCCCTGTGCCACCCCAGGGGTCACGTCTTAAATATTTCAGCCTTTCTGGTTTGCTCCTTATCATTAGTTCACTAGTATCCACTGCCATGGTATACTGTCCCTCTACTGATTTTTGTAAAGAAAGATGGGGTCGGCTCCACTGCCCTTCTGATATGTAATTACCCAGAATATACACCACTTCATAGTACAGCTAAAATACCATTTTATGCACAGGAAAATTCACAACAGATATAATTACTATTTTTAAAGATCTAACCATGATATTCACATGTGGAAACCGAGGGAAAACACACACAAGCAGCCTCTATTCCTGTAAGTAAAGATAAATGGGAGAAGTCAGGAGAACTGCTCATAAATGAGAGTCCCTCAGAGGAAAAAGCACTGCTGGACTGAGCTCCCGTTGATACCACCAGAGGGTTTGGAGTTAAAAGAGCAAGGAAAAAATATGACAGTACAAGATATCTCTCTTTTTTTTTTTTCTTTCCTCCTCATTTCCAAATCTTACTGTTTTTGAGGCTTCTCTTTAAAGCTTGTCTAAAAAAAAAGGGTTCTCATACTGAAGCCTGCCAAGTTTCCTAAAGCCGAAATTGTTTTGTATTGAAGTTACCCGTACCCCATGGACAGGCAGTTTGGCAGTGGAAACAATACACATCTAAAGAGCAAAACTGAGGCATGCAAGGCAGAAAGTCCTAAATACTAATTTCTATTTTTAAATTTATTGCTTTAGTCTTCTGACTTTTGTGCATCTGTGGAGAGAAGCATTTATCTAACAAACAACACACAACTTCCAAAGCCAAGATAAGATAAAGAAGCTGGTGATTTTTGGTCTCATCACCAGATTATGTAGATGCTGCTGTTACTTTTGGATAGGGAAAAATCAAACCCAAAAAAGATAAATCTCATCTCCCTCAGAGGCAAATCCATTATTTGTTAAATAGAGACTGAAACGTTTCTTTAGCAGGAGCCAGACTGCTTTTGCAGCAGACTGGCAAACGTGAAACGGCAGCTTTCTGCTCACATATTTAAACTTCTGTTTACAAGCCCGAGCCGGGGAAAAGCACGAGCTGTACTTCATCAAGTCCAGCTATTTCCACAGGGCAGGAAAAGAAATTTTCAGTAGCGGAGGGAAGCTGGAGAACGGGACGGCCCTTGCCGGGACGAGGTTTCCCGTGCACCAGAGGGAGAAAATGCAAAAAGCCGCAGCAGACGTGACCGAGCTCGGCTTGCCAGGGAAGATAAAAAAGACTGAACGCCGTTTACGGTTTGAGGAAGCCACGGCTGCGGCGCTACCCTCGGCTCCGGCGGGGCTCCCCGGTCCAGCGCGGCCCCCCCGGGGGGATGGGGGGGTCCCCGGGTGGCCGCCGGGAGGGTCCGGGCGGTCGCGGGGTCCCGGCCGGGGCCGGGGCGGGCACTTACCGCCTGTCGGGGCGGGGACCCGCCGCCGCCTCCCGCCGCCGCCTCCCCGCAGCTCCGGCCGTCCCGGGCCGGGGGGGGCCCGCCGGCGGCCGGGGCTCGGCGGCCGGGGCCCGCCGGCGCCGCCGCCTCCCCCCCGCGCTCGGCCAGCGCCGTCTCCGGCGGCTCCCGGGGCCGCTCCCCCGCCGCCCCCCGCCACCGCCGCCGGCTGCTGCCGCTGCCCATGGCCGCCGGCCCCGGGGCTGGGCCGGCGGGGGGGCGGCGGGAAGCGCTCCCGGGCCCCGCCGCCTCTCCCGGACGGGGCGGACGCGGGCGCGGCGCTCGGCCGCTCCCCGGAGACTCGGTCTCCCAAAACCCTTTTTTTTTTTTTTTTTTTTTTTTTTTGGCGGGGGGGTAGAATCCCACCCAGAAGCGCCCCGAAGGCCAAGGGAGGGAGCTGGATGCAGGGGAGGGATGGATGGACGTTTCTAACCGCGCTTTCGGAGTCCAGAGCGCGGACAGGCTGCCTCGCTCTGCTTAATCCCTCCCAAACCTTCAAAACCAGCCCGTTATCTCAATAACTTTCAAAAGCAGCCTGTTATCTCAGGCCTCCTAAGCCTCTCCCTCCTTACATACACCTCCGGGAGCTGGGGGAGGGAACACTGTCATCTTCAGGGACCGTGCAGCAGGGACAGCAATCCTGGACTAAATTCAAGCACACACCTCACTCAGACCCGTCTTGCAGACCTTTGGAGAGTAACACAGCCCGGAGAATGTCATTTGGGGCAGGTCTGGGGCACTGAGTGGCAATTCTGACACTGTTCCTGTGCTGGGGAAATTTTCTGCACTTGGACTGGCTGGTGAAAGGAGTGGAGTTTCGAGGCAGCCCCAGGTCAAAGGGTGGGACAGTTGGGCACCTCCGCTCCCCATCCCCGTGGACGGAGTCACTGTCTGCTTCCCCTAACCATCCTCAACTGCTTCTTTCTGTCTTTGCTTCCGACAAGAAACTATTTGCGCAACTGTTCGATGCTCTGGAAGGTAGCACTTAAATTAAAAAGTACCTGTTAAAGACAAGGCTGCTGTTTCCCCCCTGGGGAGGAGAGCAGGGGGGTAAAGCGGCTCTTTGGTTCCCAGCCCCTGTCTGCAGCACACATGTGAGTGGGAGGGAGAGCAGGTCCCGCAGGGCTGCTGCTTCCCTCCTCACAAGCCAGAGGCTGATAAAAGCAGGAAGGGTGGAGGTATGACTCCTCTTGCTGCTCCTCATCCCCGATTGCAATGATTGCATCTACCTTTCTCCCGGTTCTTCCTAAACCACCAAGCTAAAGCCCAAAAGTTTGTAATGGAGGGGCTAGAGGAGGGAAGGCAATGAGCGGTCAGATCACTGCCAGAAAGATGGGCTTATAAGAGTGGGGGCTTATAAGAAAGATGGGGACAGACTTTTTGATAAGGCCCGTAGTGGTAGGACAAGGGGTAATGGTTTTAAACTAAATGAAGGTAGGTTCAGACTAGATACAAGGAAGAACATTTTTACAATGAGGGTGGTGAAACACTGGCACAGGTTGCCCAGCAAGGTTTTAGATGCTCCATCCCTGGAAACATTCAAGGTCCGGTTAGACGGGGCTCTGAGCAGCCTGATCTGGTTGAAGATGTCACTACTCATTGCCAGGGGGGTTGGACTAGATGAGCTTTAAAGGTCCTTTCCAACCCAAACTATTCTGTGATTCTATGAAGGATGTTCTGCAGGAAGAGATCAGCTGAGAGTCTGGGAGTGTACGGTCACATCCAGGGCCTGGCTCCGGGACAGAAAAGATGCTTTGGATCTGAGGCAGGTCTTGGAAAAAGGAAAAGTGAAGGGGCCTGGCTGTTGAGGAGGAAATGGTGGAGCTGAGTGTGTGAATTAAATGGCTCCAAGCAAAATGCTCAACACACGAAATGGCTGAGGGATGAAAGATGAGGAACTGCCATCATTCTGCTCTGACCTGGCAGCACACGCTTTATAAAGACCTTCCTCTTGGCAGGGAGGCCAAGGCACTCTCAGTGGCCATGTGGTCATATTTACTGAGCAGTTAAGGGCAGCCCCATCTCTCCCCATGCAGTGCCTGGCTCCGGGCACCGGCACATCTCACGTGCATCCGTGTGATGGGCTGTTCCAGCTGGAGGAGAGGGAAGGGACAGGAGAGGACTTCTGACCTTGGCCCTGCTGACTACACTGAGGGAGTTCAGTCCCAAGCTTTTACTCAGGGTGCTTCCTTGAATCAACCCAACCTACATCGTTTCATCCCGAGAAGGAACATTCCTGTAGTCATATTGGTCATTGGATAAGACTTAAGCGTCTCCGAAAGCAGAGGAGGCAGCTGGGGCTTTGGGCTGGGTGGGAACAGAGGTGTCATCAACCCCCATGGGCTGTGGTGGGGCTTTTCCTCAGGGCTCGTGGGGTCACGGGGCTCTGCTGCCTTTTCCCGGCCTCTTTTCTCAGACAGAGAGAGGTGCTCGGGCTCCTGGGGGGCCTGCGGGTTGAGGTTCACCATGTGTGGCACATCCTTCCCCAAGGGGAAGGGCTCTGCAGGCATCAGGGACACAAAGCATTCCCAACAAGAAGTGAGTAAATTCCTTCTCCTCCTCCTCCATCCCTGCGGGCTGTCTCTGAAGGACTGGAGCCTCCTGGAAAGTTTCCTGGCTGCCCCCATGGAAACAGTTCATTCCAGGGCAGATTTGCTTGGAAGCGATGCTGGCTGCATAAGCCAGCTGTTGAAACGAGCCAAATGCCTTGTGTTTTGAAGCAGCTCACTGCTGGAGCCAGGAAAGTGTTTGAGCAGCGATGACCCCAAACACTGCTGTGGTTTAGCAGTGACACTGAAGGACTCTGAGCCTGTTCAGTGATATTTCCCTGCAGCAAAGACTAGGACTGCCGAGAATTAAAGAGAAGACTTTCCAAAAGCTAAAGGCCCAATAAGCACATGACCTCTCAGGAAAATCAATGAAATTCAGCTATCAAATTCCTCTTTAGGATGGACTGGTGGCTTTTAATGCCATTTCCCAGCAGGACCAATGGATAATATCTTGGCTGATCTTCAACAGCAAGTGTTGGAAGCGCGTAGTGAAAGTGCCAAGTATGGCATGTGGATCAGTTTTGGATGGCACCCAGACAGGCCGGCAAAGGGCCAGTGGCCTTCACATCCAAAGCACAGCACTGAGAGAGCCGGTGGTGCTGGCTCCTGGTTTCGCCCGAGTCCTGCAGGAGCCCGGGAGCTCTTCTGGAGAACAATGCTGGAGCTACATGGTTGGTGGCCTCTTCTGACTCCTGCTGTGCTGGCACCCTCAGCCTCAGCTCTGGGAAAGAAAAGGAGGTATGCTGTATGCAATTAAATGTTGCCTATCTCTGTTAGACAGCACTCTTCAAACCTGGCGATCGTTTCTTCTAATAAAAGAATTATGGAGATATATATATATGCGTGCACATACACACACATCTATACTTACACATATTAACACCCACATCTTGCCCAAATCATCACTTTTATTTGAGGGATATAGGATTATTTTAAGATTGCTATTGTCCATTGAAGCAACCAGCACTGATTTGTCCTGCTGGACTTCCAAGAGCAAAGGCCAAAGTAGAGTCAAGATATGCAATTGCCTGGACAAAATGTGACTTTCAGATCTTATTTTCTCATTGCTCATTCCCCGAGTATGAGAATAAGCCAGACTGACGCTGGCTCATCCCATGTCTCATCCTATCCCCAGGCTACAGGTAGGCCTGTCACTCCTCTCTCTCCTGACAGTATCTCATCTGTGAAGGGACATGGCACGTAAAAAATTGCAGCCAGCTCCATCCAAGGTGCTTATTCCCTGTCTTGTCCCCAGCCCCTGGTCACTGTGGGATGGTCTCACAGACTTTACCCCACACCTCATCTCAACCTCCAAATGAGACCCCATAGTCCCAGGCTTTCTCTCTGTTGAAGCCCAGGGCCTGTTGTTGTTCCTCTGGAATCCAGAGCCTGAGATTTTTCCTTCCTCAGGACTTTGATCTCTGGCTCTAACCCCTGAAGCAATGCCCTGGCCACAGGACAGACCTTCATGGCTTTAGCCGGTGCAAGGACCAGCACAGCCCATCCCTCACACTTGGCAGCATTAATGCGAGAAGCGGATGGGGAGGATGGAGGGCAGAAACCAATACCCCCTCTGCCCCACAGACAGGTTCTCCTGGCAGGAGCAACACCTGGCGAGGGTCCCAGCACCAGCATTTGGGAGGGGGTGCTGTGGCTGGGCTGTATTGCCCTTCACCCCAGCGAGGCATGAGGGGCAGCTGCAGCACTACCAGTAGTTATTATGGGAGCACCAGAGAGCAAACATATGAGGAGTTTCCTTGCTGGGTAAAATAACGGGCTCCCTCTGATATAATAACCAAAACAGAGCCTGGGGAGCACTGTTTTTTCAGGTTTTTGTTTCCACCAGAAATTTCTAGGCTATTTGCAGTTAGTTCATTGAAGGAGCTGATCTTGTAACAATAAATATGACGCCACGTGTTCAGGTTTTGTCTTCTTTCCTAACACTTTCTGTATTTTCAGCAAGTCTTCAGTAGAGATAAATACGGTTCCTTGGCATAAGAGCTCTGGAAAGCTATAGGTTTTTTTGTGGTCCTCTATATTAACCACTAGAAGGATTAAAATTCAAAGCTAAACTACATCATGTCAGAACGAATCTCTCCTGCTTGCTCACTGACTAAAAGGGTCGTTTCTCCTGTGTTGTCTGGGCATCCCAAAGTCTTCCCTTTAGGTAACCGCTTCCCTGGGATGTGGCATGGAGAGATGCTGCATCTTCCTGGCTGTCCCCCACCGCGGCACGGGCACTGGCTGACCACTGCCAGGACCTGCACACTCTCATCTTGCACCATGAGGACACACTTGCCAGTTTGGAGTGAGCCTGGAGATCTTGGTACAGATTTTTGCTCTGGATTTGTTAGAAGCAGCCCAGTGAATGTCCATCAGATGTCTGTTTAGATTCCAAACTGGCTTAGACAGCTTTTGCCACGCTCTAAGAAAATAATAAGATTTGGTCTCCACGGAGCAAGTGGGAAGACCTTCATCTTTCCCACTGCAAACTGCTGGGCTGTTGTTACACTTC